TGTTGATAAAAAAATATTAATAAATCTGTGGCGGACAGCTTCAAAAAAACTAAAAATACTTTTTATTTCTATTTAATGCAAAGTTGATGATGACGTGTTTAACAATTTTGCGAATGAATGTAAAAAAATACTTAAAAAAAACAAGAAAGATTTGCATTGAAGACTCTTTCAAGGGACTATGAATTCATTTAATTCCTCGTCTATTGACAGACATTATTAAAAATAAGTTATTCAAATTATAACATTTTCTCCAACAATATTTGTGTTTAAGTCTTAATAGATTCGTCTCTCCAACGTGAGTAATTGTTTATAATTCCAAGCTTTTGTTATTTTTTCTATTCCATGACATCCACGGTTTCTGGTGGTGATGATGAAAGTCCCTGTCCACGTAATATAACTTTCAGGTTCGGCTACAAAATGACATATGTGAATGCCAAGCCAAGCCTACACGGTGGATAATCGACTAATTTGACTTTTTGAGTATTTAAATAGGCGGTTGTTAGAAGAGATGCGAATAGTTCACATAGTCGTGACTCACCAAAGTGCACAGCACAAATTCCTTTGAAAGAATTTGTTTCATAATGCTTCGAGAGCGAACAGTTCTTTTAGAATTGGTTTACCTTGAAACACCTTGAAGTCAATTGCTGTTTAGTTTCGGTTTCATTCGCATATAGCCATAATTTGGCAACTGTTACAAGCTTATATACGCACCCCCATAGCATTGCTTAAGAATTTGCTTACATCAAGCGATACGAATATCTTTTATAGATTTTGTCAAATTTTATAGGATCCAACGAGAATAAATGATTATGTAATATTTTATATATGTTGATGGCCTGCGCCTACGGTTGTCTATTTTTTAAACGCTTTTTGTTAAAACAAAAAGAGAAAAGGCGTGAACGTAAAAGAAAGAGCATTTTTCGTGGAAAACACCAGGTGAGTGATGACGTTGTGTTATTTTTTATAATTTAACAAAAAAAAATCCAAATTTATTTATATTGCTTTTAAATTAAAATAATATTCTTTTAATTATATTAATTATATTAATCATTAAATTAATTACTATTTGAGAGAACAAAAAAATAATTCTAATTAATTTATATTGCTTTTAAATTAAAATAATTTTCTTGCAATTATAATTATATTAATCTTTAATTAATTAAAACTTAACAAAGCAAAAAAAAAATTCAAATTTATTTCTATTGCTTTTATATTAAAATAATTTTCTTTGCATTTTTTTTTTTTAATTGAATCTTTTCCTAACGATTTGAAGAAATTTCCGAAGGAAGACGTTAGGGTTGGTTGGGAATAGGATTGGCTTAGGCCAACTGTGAGACTGTTTATACCTTTTTTTGCTGTATTTTAATTATAAATTTTAAACTAGAGAGTACACGCAAATGAAATCATTCGGCACTGACGTAGCCCGGATACGTTTTTTTTTTAAATTAACACTACTCCGGCGAACTAGATCGTTTTCCACCTGCATAGCCAATCTCTAGGAACAAAAAAATACACCAACCAACCTGAATTGTCATTCAATACGTTGCAAAAATAAAGCAAACGAAGTTCGCTTGCTTGGCTGACCTAATTTACTTCGTCAGTGCTTAAGGTTGATCGCCTTCACGGTTGCGGTCCGTCTTCAACTGTTTCGTTACCGCTTCGAAAACCTTTACATTGCTTGTAAACGTTGAACTGTAATATTTTTTGATTGCAATAACAATTTCTGAACATTTTCAAACAATTTAATTTTTTTTACTAGAATTCAATAGAAACACTTTGTTAAATAAATTTTCTCATTTTGAAAACTTACCGACAACGATTTGAAGCAATTACATGTGACGCTCTAATTTACAGACTAACAAACCGAATGACGTGACACTTTCGCCAGATGTTAGTGACAGTTGTGCAAGTTTAACAAGAACAAGTCCAAATGAATATTCGTGTGTTGAAATGGGCAAATCATCTTCTCACATTCATACTTCATCTACTAAGAACACTATACCATTGAAAAATTCATTTGTGTATTTGTAAGTAATGTGCATAAATTTTACGTCTAGATGAAGTTTTCTATTGAACAGTGAAGTTTACATAAAAGAGGTCACGGTACTAAGGACGGTCTTTCCAAACCATTACAATGTCAAAAAACTAGCTTGATCGGATAATTGGTTCATTTAGAGTTTTACAATCAATTTAATTTAAGGGAAACGATGTAATTGTGTCCTTCCACCAATTTTTCCCATTTTCAATACCAACCCGCGTGCAGAAACTGCCAATGTTTGTACCAAATTTAAAGACGATAACTTCATTTTTGCGACGAGGGGCGTGCCACCAACACACAAACGGACAGACAAAATCAACTCAGAATTTTACACTGATCAAGACTATTATATACTTTACAGTGTCTCTGAAACTTCCTTTTGTTTTTACCGGCTGTTTCTGGCAAGAAACATGACGACGATGACAACGTTCATCCATAATGAAGAGTAAAGCCTTTGGGAGTGTGGCTTGAAATTCAAAGCTATTAAAAAGTGCGAGTATAATACAAGAGCGTGACCTCTGTACTTATTTCCTGTAGACCTGGTCAAAAATATCTCTTTAGTCATATATTTTTGCATTTTTCTGTCCATACGTCTTTACTTCCAAAATTACAATATCGGCTTCAAAATTAGCAAGCACGTTAGCAGGGTCAGCTTTGTATTGAAAATAAGCCCGTGTTCAGGACGTGCTCTTAGTACAATACAAATTAAAAACATCTTTGCTTTCAAAGGCGAAAAAATCCGGTTTTCCTCATTGGTGAGAAACAAAAACAATAAAATTATTATCCATATTCCATAGGCGATCTCATCTTTTCCGCCACTTAGACGATCTCGCGCCCCAAAGAGACCTGGACAGTTTCCACCGCTGAAATTCGCTATCTGAAGTAAGTGTGAATAATTCTACACAAAAAAGAAACTTTATATATATAAGGGTAGACCTAGACGATCGGTCGGCTAAGTGTTAACATAAGAACAATGGGGTATAGAAAATATGCCCATGGACGAATGTAATTAGCGTTCTTCTTCTAAAGTTTTAGAGAGAGAAAGACAGAGAGAGAGAGAGGGAGAGAGAGAGAGAGAGAGAGAGAGAGAGAGAGAGAGAGAGAGAGATAGAAAGTAGTTCGTTAAAGTATATTGTCGTCGAGCAAATCCATAACCTGGTTTAAGCTTGAACATAAAAACTTTTATTAATGAACCTCGCCGACTTACATATTTTCTTCTAGTGAAGTAAAATTTTGTTTATTTGGTTTTTATTAAATTTTTTTATTGATTTTATTCAATACTTTTCGCCTTTAATTAGATTTCAGTGTGTTTCGACTTAAGAAATTTTTCTTCTTTTTTTTTTGTGTTTTTCATCCTTTTATTTAACTTTCTTACATATTTTACACAATTACTTAATCCCTTACGTATAGCATTGAAAATTTATGCAACTTAGATTAAAAATTTGTTCTCTTTCTAGATGTAATGCGAATGCTTAATAAGTAAACCAATTAAAAATTCCTATCCGTACAATGGACTAAATCAACATGCCGGTAGTTATGAAAAATGTACAGGGTGATCTAAAATTTATGCAAGATGGTGCGATAGTGAAGAGACTAATGAAAAAATCTTAGGAAAACGGAATCGAGTAGTGATCTTAAACTCTCTGCTCAACGTTGTAGTAGTGCATGAAAATGTTGCTAAAAGTCCAGGAGATTACAAAAGCACTAGATATTGCGTGAAATTCTCTACCGACCATTCCTAGAAGAGAACATTTTCGTGTGGAAGAGTGATTCAACTGCGGCAACTATCAGGGGATTAATTAAACGCTTTTAGGAAGACTTAGTCGGTTAGTGATCTTAAACACTCTACTCGTCCTTCGACGCAAAACATCGAAAGTGTTCGTATGAGGATTGCTAAGGGTTCAATCTCGCACCGTGGTCAAAAGTTGAGCATTTCGTGAAATTTTATGCGGATGGCTCTCACGAAAGATTTGCGGCACTCGTCGAAGCACTTCGTACGAACGTTGCTAAGAGTTCAAGGATAACAATTCCACACCGTGATCAATAATTCGAAGCTTTTCACAGCCTATTTTCACAAAAGATTTGCATCCTCACGCTTACAAACTCAAACACTTAAACCCGCCGACCCATGCACGGCAATTAGACTTCGTTAAATTGCGTTATGGAATACCGATAAGTGTTTGTTCCACATACTCGATATGCCTTTCCGTTTATATAACTCTGTAGTGCATACTTTATAAAACAATAAACTTGTGTTTTCGATAAAAATTACTTCGTGCGTGAATTTTAGGACACTCTATAAGTCATATTTATTTTCATTTTTATGAAATTATTGATTGGCTGAAGGCAAACCTGCAGAAATTGCTTCAATTACGATAACAAATAAAAACAAAGCACCCCAAGGAAACCTCATAACCTAAATATGTTTAGAGTCTTGATTTGGCAATTTTCATAATAATCAATAGCTAACATACGCTAATGTTTAAACAAAATTTGTTGGTAGAGAAAAGAAACAAACTGTGGGCGAATCGATGCTGATTAGTTTTATTACAAATTACGCTCAGATATTTGGATTTTCCATGATTGATGCCTTAGAGGTTAAATGTAAATATATGAATGTATGTATGAATGACTTTATGCGTGTTTTTTTTTTTTTTTGCTTTGCTTTTCTTTCTTCTATGTTTATATTTACAACCTGATGGAAATAATTTCACTTCTTTTCTTAATCGAATGGTATACATTTTATTGATTACATTACGGTGCTACTAAAAGAGAATAACTACGTTTTCATTATTTGTTTTCTTTTTTTATTTTCAGTTGCTTCTTTTAATCTTTTCTTCAATTACAATTTTGCCTACATCTTTCGTAGCCTAGGTGATCTAATCACTTACATACTCTTTCTTATTCTTAGTAATTTTTTTTTCAAATTTTTTTATATCCGTTTTTTTCTTATCGAAGCCTATACAATTTCTTATTCATTAACTTAAGGGAAACTGGATTAATTTTAATCTTATAGCAAGGATTCTTTTTTTTTTTTAAGTGTTTGTTCAATCTTTAGTTTTCTTAATACGGAAGTGTTAACATTTCGAATTTTCTTTTTTCTCCTTTTTTTCTTTCTCCTGCAATTCTTAGGCGCTTAATAGATCAATAATAAGCTCATGAGGCTTTCAGAGCTTGCCTCTTACAAAACCCAGTTTTTCTTTAGTTATTGCCGAATTTTGCCTTTAAAGGATTTCAGCAAAAATTTCTCAGTATCAAGTATTGGAAGAAAGTGTAAATAAAATCCATATAAGAACATTTTTCAATATGTTAATGCTTTTATAATATTTTTCAAGAACTTTTCTCTAATTTTTTTCAGATTTCTTTAGTTTTCAACGTATTTTACAGAGCTACCGAATCATCGTTTAATATTTTTGCTGAATTTGAATTTAAATTGGCTGACGTTGCTTTGCAGGGCTTGGTTGCAAGGGTGAGATTCTTGTTGACGGCTTTGGGGCTGCTAATGGCGTTAATGTTTGCATTGTTTTTTGCGTTTTTCGGTGCTGTTGTTATCAAGTTCTTTGCTTTCAAACACCGTTGCTGCTGTTGGTGTTGTTGTTGTCATATATCAGAACTTTCATGTGAATCTCCCACATAACCCTCGTCCGGACTATCAGCTAAAGGACCATTTAAATGACGAGTTTTTGTTGTGTGTTCTGTTAGTGTTGCAGTCGTGGCGTTTGTGAGTATATCATCATCAGCACTCTTTAAAGCTGCTATTGTTACGTTGCTTGCAGAGGTGGGCGATATATCGGTTTCATCGCATTCAGGTATAGTGGTCGAATCAGCCTGGGCAGCCGCACAGCGCATTGGTTTTCTACCCTCACTTTGTGTTGAAGCGTTTATAGTTGTTGTTGTTGCTGTTGCCTTTGTTATTGTTTGCGCCGTTGGCATTGCAGCATTTGTTTTCGACTGTGTCTGTTGTTGTGACAATGACAACGTTGTTTGAATTGGCGATGATTCCGACGACAAAGTGCCGCTATTGAGTGTTTGTATGTTCACGCCAGCAGTAGTATTTGCTACTGATTCTAATTGTTGGGGACTTAAAGGCAAGTTCCCAGCTCCCGTGATTAAAGTAGGATAGCGAATGCTACCGCTTTGAGCGTGATAACCAGGTAAACAAGGTGGCCATTGTTGTAAACTTTTTGTCACCGTATTATCGTTTAAAGCATTTGTAGGTGAATTGGCGCTTTTGTAGCCTTCAGGGGGTGATGGATACTGCCCCAATTGCTGTGCTTGCTGAGGATATCCCTCGGCAGTGAAACGTACATTGGGCATCGTGAGCTTGTCATAACTTGGCGTGTTAGACGAATGCTGTTGCAAAAATTCAGCCTCCAGACTATATCGCATGCCATTAGTGGCCGAAGCGGCGTATTGCTGTTGCTGTTGTTGCTTATGGACTCGGTTGTGAGGTAAGGTGCGATAAAAATTTTGCTGTGACTGCGTTTGTTGTTGTGAATGTTGCTGTTGTGGCGATGAAGCCTGCTGTTGTTGAATTAGATGATGATGGGCGGGCGGGATTTGCTGCAAATGCTTATTGTTAAAATCGTAGGCGAAACCATCTTGCCCCAAAAAACAAACCGGATTAAGATGTACATCTATTGCATGCGCTGGTAAACTATTCATGACGGTTTTCAATTGCATACCCCGTGGAAGAGTAGTCATTGCGCCAAATCTTGAATTACCGCTACTAGTATTTGGACGCATAATCTGTGAACCAAAATGTGGCGCCAATTGATAAAATCGATCATATTGTACAGGTGCTGAGCAATCATTGCCCACATCGTATGCTGTTGCGGTTGCGTCGAGGCTTGTGGATGTCTTCAGTTTATGTTTCACACCGTTTTCAGTGTCATTAATCAGATCGGGATTTTTCTCTGCGTATGCATTACGCAAAGAAGCGGGTGGAGAACAATATGCCAAAGTATTACTAATGGCCGGATTTACCATTAGGGAAGCCGGCAGCGTAGGCGGAGGTGTTGCCGCGTTAGCAATATTTACACTTAATTGCAATGTTTGGTTGCTGCCCTCCAACGGTGCATATAACATGATGTTCTGTTTCATTTGATTGCCTAATATGACGCCATTCTCTTTGCCCAACTTAGTGGGCGTCATACTGTCACAAGCACTCAATATTAAACCAGAGCCAGCATTTATACTATCACCGTCATTTATAATCGATGAACACTTCATAAGGCCGGTATCGTTGCTACTGCCGCCATCAGACGATGTGGTGTTGTTACCGTTAACGGATGTAACCGCAGACGGGTTACATTTCTTTCGTTTTCGAGGTGCATCACGTTGCTTGCATTTGATAATCACAGTGCACAATAAAACCGCAAAAATAATGCCCCCACCAGCACTACTGGCTACTATATAGTTAAGATAATTTTGTGGAAATGATACTTCATTGACTATCGGCGGTTCCTTAATTATCACTCTTATGGTATAATTGCTAAAGGTGGTACCAGCAATGTTCTGACCAACACAGGAAAATGTGCCATTGTCCTCTATTCCTACATTATAAATGAATATCTCGCTGCGTTTCTCTTCAGAAATTCCCGCCGAATCATCTACGTAGTAATACAAATGCGGGTTATCCAATAGGCTGTCATTACTCATAACTTGGCCATTAAACAACCATATTACCTTCGGCTCAGGTATTGCACGCACGACACAAGAAATACTTAAATTTCGACCTTCAGAAACTTCATTGTAAGTTGATTGAGGCGTCACTTCCGGCAAACAAGCAAATTCTTCACGCTTGAGATTTTTTATCACTTGACTCTTGAGCCGAGTTGGTTCCACGCATTTTGGATCTTCTGATTGTGGAGTATTATAAGTAGTTAGCCAAGCATGCACGTCCAGCAAACGACAATCGCATGTCCAACGGTTACTTTGTAAGCTGATCCCATGCAATGACTTAGGCAATATGTGGTTTCCCTGTATGTAACTGATGCGGTTGCCATCTAAACGCAGCCATTCCAAATTGTCCATCCCAATAAATGCCTCATTTTCGACACGTTCTATTTGACAGTTACTCAACTCCAAAGTTGTAAGGAATGACAAATACCGAAAAGCGGCTAACTTTAGTTCACGTATCGGATTCCCGCTCAAGCTTAGACGCATTAGCGAGCTATAGTCTTGAAAGGTTTCCGTGGGTATTTGCTGCAAAGCATTCTCTGACAAATCAAGTTCTACCAGGTTTGTTAGGCCACGGAAAGCCTTTTCATGTATACGTATCAGCTGATTACGCGATAAGTAGATTTTTTGTAAATTTAATAGATCCATACGTAGAAACCTTTCACTTTGTAAGACTTGCAATGCGTTACCCGAAAAATTGAGAACCTGTGTGCCGGGATCCATGCCCTCCGGTATGTTAGGCAAAGATTGCGCGCCACATTCCACTGTCTGCTTACCACCTTTCCATTTGCAAACGCAAACTTCCGCCGGACAGGCTATCGAAAATGTTCTTAATAGAAAAAGTGCTGACAGCGAAGCCAGGTAGGCTGCAAGAATCATGTTTAGTCAAGCGGTGGTGGATGCAAAATCTACTGTTTACTGCTTGGCTTAGGATGCTGTTAGTTAGCCGTTCTTAACAATTTTAAGTGCAATTTTTGCTTCTAATTTAAGTCTAATCGCTTAAATTATCTTACATAAATAATTGCTTTTAACTTTCTTTCTTTTTCTATTTTAAAATTTCTTTAGTGAAAATGTGGAAATATATATGTCTTCCAATTTTCCTTCGCTTCTTTCTGTTTGTCAAATTTTATCCGTTCCTTTGAAATTTCCTTTATATAATCGATGGATATCGATGATGATTATGGTGTCTTTAATATTGGTGGTATCGGTGGAGGTGTTTAGTATTAACACCAAAAGCGCCATCTATATAGGGTTGTATAAAAAATCTTCTAACAATTAGGTAGGCGTTCACGGCGACATAAATGTTACGAGTTTTGCTTGTTCTCCTTTTTTTTCCTTTTTTTAAATGTTGTTTGTTTTTTCCTTCCTTGCTGCCACCTATCAATTTCAATCTAGTTTATGCGAATATTTTTGTGACGAGGCTCTCGATTAGTCTTCTAATGCTCTTCTACGTTTTCTCACTCTTCAGCGCGTATCATTTGTGTAAATCCCTTAAGGCTTTTTATCTATAGATTTAAATAGATTCATTTGACAATCAGAGCGCGCTGTCATCTGGAATGCTGGACGTTTTCGTTCTTTTTCTCGTTTTTCTACATATTTCTTTTTCTGCTTGAATGACTGATATTGCTTTTGATATTGCGCTTATCTAAGTACTTTGGCTATCGAATGTTATACTTTTATAAATGTGCATGAAATATTTCAAAGACAACAACAACAACAAAAACTAAAGCAAGTGAAGAAAGCCTTTATAACAAATAACAGTCGTTTCGTACAACTCGATGTTGGTTTCCTTGTGCTGCTGTCATTTCAACTTTCGTACTGCTATGTATTCTGTGATTTCTGTAATCATTGTTTTTTTCCTTCTATTTATTTCTTATGCTTCGTTTTTCCTTATAGCGGTGCTTTTAACTGTTCACTGGCAACACGTACAACCCAGATTGCCTTGCATTCCTTTCTTTTTTTTATTTTCCAATTTACCATTACCGCACTTCTGTCACTCAGTCATTTGCGAGGCGCCCGTAAGTCTTAAAATTTGTTTTGATGTTTTTCTCTGTCGTGCTTTCTTTTTTCTGCCTTTACGTTCATTCTTTTTCAATTCATATTCTGGATTACTTTTATTGCTTTTGTAGTTTTTTTTCTATCGCTCTTTCTTCCTCTACCTAATAGAAGAATGCAAGAAAAAAATTCCTGATTTTTTTTTTCTTTTATATTCTTTCTTTTCTTATTTGTTTTATTATTTTGTGTATTTTTTGTTTTCGTTTTCCCTTCTTTTTTTGTTTTTTTCTAATTTTCACTTAGTTTTATGTCCTGTACTCTGATGAAGTATCTGTTTGTTTATGTGATTCTTTTTGCTGTCGTTATCTGCGTACACATTTGATTTCCTTTCTTGCCATTTGTTATACATTCAAGCTTCAACATCGGTGTCTCTTTCACTCTCGGTACTATGTTGACACGCCATCATTTATAGTCTTTCATTAAGTCCATTAAGGGTTTTAACTGCAAATAAAGAATGAAAAAAGTTAATAAAGAAGTTAAAAATATATCACTGAAAAGAAATCTAAATACACTTTCATACGTATACATATCGACATATTACAAATATATATATATATATATATATATATGCACTAGCAGTTATATAAGTGGTTCGGTTATTTACAACGGATTACTAAAAATTAATATTCATTTTATTAAATGGTGATTTTCCAAAAGGGTAAGAAAGTCAAGGATTAAATGGAGTATGAAGTGGTATTGTAAACCGTGCATACTTTCAGTGTGGCTGACATTGGTTAATCTTTGCAACGCGAATCATCTCAATAACGCAAATTGAAAACTTTCCGGACGGACGCGATACTAGAAATCTGCAGTACTACTGTGTGGCAAGAATGTATTAAGTTTGTGCGAATGCATGCAACACCCAGAAATACTTGAGATAGATTCACCTTTTATTACGCCGATCAATTCAGAATCACTTTTCAATTCAATCGGAGCTTCTCTGTCCGTCTGTCCACTTTTTTGTTTTTTGATTTCAGCCTAAAAGTCATCAATTTCGAGGTATTAATTTTATGAAGTTCAGTCTATTTACTCATTTATCCATTTACTTATTTATTTACCGAACTACGAATACAAGTTATCGGCCGATAGAGAATATCTTACAACTAAACAAGCTATAAAATATTTTCAGGCAAGAGAGATGAGAAGTGGAATAACATTATAGACAACACTGCGCAGAACAGCGACGAATGGCATACGTACTGTCCAATTAATTGAATGACCATAAAATTTTGGCAAAGTAAAGCAAAAATAGAGTATTCCATGATTTAATGTAGTAAAATGAATGGAATCATAACGTGAGTGAGTGCAATTGCAGCAAGGGAATATCTCCATAAGGCGTTTTATAAATGAATTCGTTAAATAACAAGAATAAATCCAGGCAGGATGCTAATAGCGCAGTCGTAGAGGAATACATGATACGAAGGACCCTGATCTTATTTGAAAGGAGCATATCTTCGCGATGAAAAACGTTAGTTTTAAAGTGACCGAGTTCCAAAACGTTTTATATATTTATTCATCCTACAGTGAGGGCAACATTTTCTTCCATTTTGCCAGAAAAGTGCTCGAGATAGAGATTATCTCCCAATCTTTCAAATGCTTACAAAATATGTTAAAAGCATTCTGCCAGAGAAGAAGAAGAAAAATTTCCTACTCGAACACAAGGATTTTCTAAATAAATCTAAGTGATGATAAACTCGACAACGTAGGCAAGCGCAAAGGGTTCGTATTTTAGTCCATATTGCTGCAGTTACTAATATTTTAGTTATTAAAAAATGAAAAAAATTTATTTCTTTATCTCTTTCCTATTGTGCTGTGCCCTGTGTACACATAGAGTTCAACTTACGTATATTTTGAAAGACATTTTTCTGCCTTTTCTTTGTAAAATTTTCCTTTAAGGCTTAAGAGTTTAAGGCTTTATTATAAGAATTGTTTTTTATTTATGTTTGTTCAAATTCCGTTTTATCGCCAGCGTTCCCTACAACCACTTATAGAAAAATTTATAATTTCTAGGAAAAGAAAAATACATTTCAATTTTTGAAAGTTTCTACTTGCCTTAAAAATAGATAAGAAAAAACATACACATGTGTACAGATATAGTGCAACAAACAATCGCTTGGTAAAAATTTGCTACTTGTTAAGTTTCTATTAAAAAAAAAATGCTTTATGTTAAGTACTAATTGAAGTGAAATATTTTTAATATTTTATTCTGAGCTGAGAAACGCTTCATTGAGGTTAAGCCGAATAGTTCATGTCCGCCATTTTTTACCCTTAAAGAAACCTCTGTTTACCTTAGGACAAATCTACCTCATAAATATTTCATGTCGATGCCTCTGAGTGAGTTATTTCCCAAGTCCGTTGTCATGTTGAAAAACAAAACAGTTACATTCGCCCGGAAGTAAAGAAGACGAATGGAAATGGAGAATTAAAATTATTTTCAAGTCAGTAAGTCAACTGGATTATCTTAGTTTTGAAATTTCACAACAACTCTTTGATTAATAACGGCGTGGGTTTTTAAATGTTTTTCGATTCGGATAATATTCTACGATTACCAGATAAATAAAAAGGCAAGTAGAGCAGAAAAGCTGTTTGCCAAAGCGACAATTTGACGAAATCTTTTAAAGTCAATAGAGTAAAGCGATAGAGTAAAATGTTGATAGAAAGGTAAATTGATACAGATCTAGCGTGGTATTACAACTACTACTTTGCACTAGCATAATTCTGTTATTGAGAAACACTTAATAATAAATAAAACGACGTGTCAGAGAGCACAAATCACAGAAAGAAAAAAAAACACTAGAGGCGCTAAATAAATATGTGCTCACCCGCCATAACTCAGACAGTCGTCCATTACGTAGCGGGTGACACTAGTCAGTCTCTGCAGTAGGTTTACCTACCATTACGTACGTTTGTCCTTCTAGTCTACTACGCGTTCTGCCTTATATATGTGTATGCATGTATGTGTATATATGTACATATGTATCTATATATAGATTTTAAATTTTTCAAAAGGCGATAAGCCTGAATCCTTGAAAACGCGACAACTTTCTTGACACCTTTTATAAGGAAACCACAAAACTTTTACAACTGAATTTTTTTTTTTTCAAATTAATTCAAAGATAAAATCTTATGTGCAAAATTTAGTTTATTTTGGACATAATTCTCCTCCTTTATTACATAAGGTATCTCTGCGTGCGCATGTGGTGTCTTATTTTATCAAGCATTAAGATGGTGATCGAAGAACAAGTGACGATCGATAATTAGTGTTTCTTTGTACTCTGTTTGTCTGTCAAGAACACGATTACGGCGTGGAATTTTTGCCTGGCGTTAGCATTTTCCTCCTATTTTCATTTCCCGGAACAAAAGTATTTTTCAAATTAAAAATTTTTTCTCATAGCATATGACTATTTCTCTATTATCTTATTCCGTTCTCTTAAGTAAGCGTATGGACAGGATACGTTGACTTTTCTTCAGTAACAGCTTGGATATCACGACAAATTCATATTTACTTACGTTATACTGCCGTATAACGCTGTATTTTAAGTAGCTTGTGCTTCCGCTTTAGATTGCAATTTTGTCATAAATTTCTAACAAAGCCCTTTGAAAAAAAAAAGAAAATCAAAAGAAGCATTTTTTCTCTTTCAGCTATTATATAATTTCGTTGTGATTTTTTCTTTGATTTTCATACCACACGCTACTTGTGGTATAGGCAATGTGCGTGCAGCACCCGGAAGGACTAGGAAGAAACTCACCTTTAATTGTACCGATGGATTCAAAAAATAAATTTGCGCTTCTTTGTCCGTCTATCCCTCTAAGGTCTATTAACGAATTCTTATGTTGAATCTACAGATCCGAATTTTTAAGACATTTTGATGACATTTGGTACACCGCTATGTTTTGGGCCCACAACGAACGCTTTTGAAAATTGTTCAGATCGGTCCGCTTTCCCGCTCTCTTTTCGTATAACGTCTTATTTTGAAAAGTCATTATTATATGAAGTATTGGGAAGTGTTTAAAGATCGGCCATGTCTTTCTCTAAAGTTTTCACCTTTTATATTGTATTTTTGTGGAAATTTAAAACAATATAAAATTTACATAAAAAACGTCTACTACGTTGCTTTTAAACACATAGAGTTACTATGAAATCGTGAAATTTAATGCATAAACTTGTAAGAAAGTACAGCGTTTGTGGTAATACAGTTTACGTTCATTATTTACGGATGAGCAACATTGCTTCAGTACAGCGCGGCACTAACGATTGCACGTCTCTTCGACAGTATAGGAGTTTTGATGTTTTCGAGTCTCCCGCGACAAGTACACTTTTAACTCGAGAAATTAACCACGAAAATAGTTTTCTAACTTTCTCAATTTAAAGCAGTGGTTATTTTTTCATGTCTTCATGGGAAATAGTTTTAAATTGCATTTAAGAAAGATTATCTTGTCGAGATTGTGGAGGATATAAATTTTATTTTAACTATTTCCAAATATTTTAAAATGCACTTTTAACTCAAATTGAGATAAAAAATTAATAAGGGTTTTATAAGAATTCATATCGCATTACAGTTAGACAAACGCTGTTTGTTCTTAAGAAAATTTAAAACTTTCATGTATGTATGTATTTACACGTTTGCATTTGAAGAATGCATGAGAAAAACTTTTCGAACGCGTATATTTTCTCTGGCATCAAGTACGCGTTTAAAAAAAATAGCACTTTTCACTGCTCAAGCGTGAAATTGTTTCCGTACGTTTTGAAAATTGAAATTAATAAACGTTCTAGCGGTAACAGCACTTCATATATTGTATAAACTAACGTAGAATGCCGGTACAGCAAATTTGTTTTTCTCATTGTAAAAATGCGCTTTAGGTGCTCTATACGCTGTATATATTCCTTGTAGATCGGTATAGAATTCTAAGTCGAGGTAATTATGTATGTATTTCTCTTTCCGATTTGCGATTGAGACACTCGCAACAACTGACCGAGCAAGTTGAAACTTAGAGCGGATGCCTTTATGTAATGACCCAATGACTCAATCCTTAAAAAGAGCATGGTACAATCCTGATTGAATTTCCGACTATGCTCCCACTTAATAGAATAGGTTGCAACTTGGTGTACGACACGCAAGATTTACCTCAATGCAAGTCTCAATGCTTCGTATGCTCTCTACCATGCTTTAATTTTACACATTTCTATTGTCCTACTATGATCTCAGCTTTTTATGGAACTACAGGCGAACCTCTTGCTGGTTATACGCGCGCAGGCTATCGTATTAATGAGCAAATCAGTTGTAGGTAGCTAATAATCCCATTATAATATATGTAATTATAGAGTATTAATATTACATAATTTGTGGTTTGTCAAGTGGACAACTTTTTCCCTTGAAACATTCGTTCGTTTAAACAAGATCGACAGGCTATGTCTTAAATAATTAAGAAAGTTGTTAACC